TCCGCAGCCCAGCCCTGTTCCCAGGCCCACGTTTTTGACGTTTGGGATTTGGGTGGAATAACAAGGCTGAGCGGGAGAAGCCGCCGCTGTTTTTGCTTCCAAGAAAAACAAAACAAAAGCAAGTTCTGAAGCTCGCCCGAGATTTCTGCTTGGCTTCGATTTTGACTTGGGCTGAAGCCCCCGCCTCTTTTTTTACTCAAGTCGAGCGTAGACTTAGCTTCGCTTTCGGCACTAAGCTAAGCTTCGGATCAGGCTTAAGCTTAGACAGGATTTGAGACTGAGCCTTAGGGCTTGAGCAAAAGCTTAAGCCTAATGCTAAGCACCGGCATAGGCTTAGGCTTAGTGTAGATCCGTCCTGGGAGGGTCTATTTTTAGCTTCAGACTAATTGTTAGACTTAGGCTTATTGAGCTTGGACTTAGGAAGAGATTGAAGGCTGAGCCCACATTTAGCTGAGGCTTAGGCTTAGGCTTAGTCTTAGGTTTTTCACGGATCTATACAAGTACCAACCTCGTTGCCAAATGAGTCCTGCTCGTACCCCCGAGCGGGTGGAGATCGATGTCGAGCGGTTGCGGGGGGGAATCGGCTTTGCAACCCCCGGGCTGGCCGAGTGGCAATTTCGAGTGATTATACGGGGGTACTGGGTATTCAGACCGTGGGGGGCACTACGCTACACTCCTATAGCCCAACCCCACAAACCGTTCACCCAATTATTGGCTCAGCCTGCCGGTATTGCCGGGATTTGGGGGGATGCGGAATTGGGGCGTCGAACGGGGCTTTGGCCACTGTGCAGCTCCATTTGGGGGTAGAGGTACGGTGGTTGATATAGAATGGAAGAGAAATGATACAGAGGTAAAGGTTTAAATGATCCTTAGCTTAGGCCTAGGCTTCGACAGCGGCTTGGACTTGGCCTAGGGTTGGGCTTATGCTTGGCTTAGGCTTGGGCTTGGGCTTAGGCTTGGGCTTAGGCTTGGGCTTAGGCTTGGGCTTGGGCTTGGGTTAGGCTTGGGCTTAGGCTTGGGCTTCGGCTTGTGCTTAGGCTTAGGCTTAGGCTTAGGCTTAGGCTTAGGCTTACAAGTAGGTTTAGGCTTAGGTTGAGGCTTGGCCGAGGATAAGGCTTAGGCTTGGGCTTAGGCTTCAACTTAGGCGTAGGCTTAAGCTTTAACCCGACAGTCGGCTACCATCAAAGCATGTCCAGTTTGGGCCAACATGGGCACACATCGATACCGCGGTACAGGGTGGATGCTAAAAGGGGAATGGCGGGATGGGTGGGGGAGAAAGGGTGAGGGGGGATGATGTGGCACCACAGGTGATTCAAGCCCTGTGAATACACAAACGGACGGACGGATAGGGAAAGACAATCAGACAGACAATCGGGTCGATGTCCCTCTCCAAATATGGCCCGGCGCTGGTCGGATGGGGGGAATGTTGGTACAGCTTGACCCTCGGGGGCCGGTTGGATGGCCCGTAAATTCGGCTTCAACTAAATCAAATTTCGGTGAAATGCTTTGCGACCTCCTAATTTTCGACACTACAATATTAAAATTAAAAACTTCAAAAAATGTTCATTACTCAGCTAATTTAAGGCCAAACAAATCAACTTCCTCAACCTATAAGGACCTATTTTTTTGCTTTTTCTAGCTTCCAAATTTCCTATAAGGCTTCTTCCAGTTTCCGTAGAGGCAGGCCGTTCGTCACTCAAGATCCTTCGTCCCATCGCTACCCTGGAAATACCATGGACACCCAAATGGGCCCGACAACCCGCGGCAGCCGACCGACCACCGAAGCACCATTTTAGCCTCTTCCTGCAGAGTAGCCAGGTGTACGTGGCTAATGTGAGGAGCGGGGACATACGGCTGCTCCCTCCGAACCCCCTCGAAAATTCAGCCCTAAAAGTCCATCGACAATGCACTAATAGTCAACGCCCCCCAACAATTGACAATTTGCATACGTGAAGCCATGAGGCTTTTGGGAGACAATGTGGCCACCAGGGTCCGGCGTGCCGTTCAGAGGTGCCACGCGTACAAAAGGGTGCTGGCTGAATTATGTGCATGTGTCCTTTGGTGGGCCCGCCCTTGGACCCTGACGTTGAGAATACAGGCCCAAAGGCATCTATTTTATGCAAAAGCAGACGGGGAATTGGGTACGGTAGAGTGGCTGGGTTTTAAACAAATCAGCTTCAAGTATTGGAGTTCAAAGGCATTTTTTAAGGTATTTTAAAAATGCCGAACTTCATAACATCCAAATTTCTTAATGTCGGAATTTCGAAACGTCGGAATTTTTGGCATAGGAATCGATTTTCCGGAAAGGTCCCTTCATGGAAAAAATTCGACGTTACGAAATTTTAACATTGTGAAATTACATTCGGACATCTCGGGATTATGGATTTTCGACTTGCGAAATGTCGGCATTTCAATGTTATGCAATTTTAACATTCTTCCAGCAAACCTAGCACGTTGCTTGAAGAGGAATTGCAGCCATAGTGTCGGCAGGAAAAATCCCGACAGCCAAAATACCGACATTTTCTTGACGGTAATTTGAATGCCACTTTCTTTTAAACGTCTGTTTTCATGTCGCGATTTTGGCTTTCGGATTTTGGCTGTCGGGATTTTGGCTTTCGGTATTTTTGCATTTTCCTCTCTAAAAGCTACTGATTCCCTTCGAAGCTTCCACAATGCTTCCGGTCTCCCTGGGGCCCGCGATGCCAAAAATTTCGTTCCCACCAGCAGCGCCGGCCAATAGCCACATCGCGGCAATAAAATGCTTGGCCTAGCACCCCCGTATCGAGGCGCCCCCAAATAATAATGATCGACGCGGCGCCTGCAGGCCTGATCGCCACGCGGGGCTTTGGGAGGGTATTGTGGGGGTGTAGGTGGTGCATCATGGCACCGAACCGCCGATCCGCCACCGCCCCCATCCGAATCAATGGCTTACCGCTCGGGCTTGTAGTATTCAAACAGCCTAAAATGGGAAACGAGGGCCCCGTCGCCGCGCCTTGTCGTCCCAATCAAATGTGGGAACGCGTCCATGAATATCATTCCGCCGGTGTACACTGTACGGTCGGGGGTTGGTATTTGAAAGGGGGCGGAATGGACGTCACGAAAAAAATACCGGGGATCGCATAAACCACAGTAAAATAATGTGTTCAAAATTATATATAAAATCATATCGTAATATTGGAAAAAAGACGCTAACCAAAATTCTAAAAAATCGAAAGTTTGGCCGTAAAATCAATTTTTTTTTGTATCTTTCATATGATTTGGAAATGGAAATTTTTGCCTTTCGGAATAGTAAAAAACAAACAATTAAAAGCCACTTCTTCTATTGATTATATCAGAAAAATCAGATATTACGGAACCCCCCCCCCGATAATAGGAAAGAACCACCCAGTGATGCGGTAACCAAGTTTCAGGCTGTCGGTTTTACTCAACTGCATTAGAGGCAAGACTGAAAATTTTACATCATTAAATTTAATACCTCCGCATCATCTAATAACACTAATAAAAATCCTAACCATCTAAGTATTAAATTAATTTATTTATTTTAACCTTTTTTGCAGCGGTCTTACTTTTGTCGTCTATAGTGCTACCAATCGACCGTAACCCTCGCCTGGAAATGAGTGGCGTAACGCTCCCCGGGCCCCTGGAAAATACTAAACTAAAGAAAATCTAACTAAATATTTGTTTATATCTTTGTATTTTATCGATAATCCTAATAAACACCGTTTTTCAGGCCCAGATGCGACGGACGGCCGTTTGTCTCGTCCGCGGCGGGCAAGGCGGCGGATTTTTGAGCCGAATCCTCGGGAAGAAGCCAGATCCACCGGCCGACCATACTATGTCTGAACAACAAAAGGTGTGTGATTTGTGGATCCATATCAATCCTTTTTCCAGGAGGCCCTAGCAAAAACGCTGGGCAAGCTGCGAACCGACGTGGCGCGGCCGCGAGACGATTCGGCACAGACTGCGTCGTTTTCCGATGATCTCATCGATTCGCGCATTGACATCGATGCTATTCGGGCCCGCGGGTAATTTTGATAAACCTGATGTGGACGTGCTTTTCAGTGTAATGAAGTACCGCTACAACTACACCCCTCCACACGACATCGAGGAACGGGTGCTCAAGTTTGCCGGATCGATTCTAGGCACTCGTACGTTGGATCGAAAGCTGGAAGAGAGTCAAGAAAAATTCAAGGTATTGTAATGTTTTGCAGATGATACGAATGATATTTTAGCTAATCAGCGCCATCGGGTCGGAGCTGAACCATTTCCCCACAAATTCCCGGCTGCATCAGATCAAAACCGTGAGCGCTGTTCCATTTTCTGAGCTTTTCTTTAGGTGGCAGACTTGGCGGCTTTCTACGAGGAGCCTGTGAAGAATGTTGATGATTACACGAAAATGGCGAGGTATCGTTGCTTTGGGTACTTTAACATTTATTTCAGGTCTACAAAACTCCCGCCGAATGTTAGCATGGCCGAGCAGCCAGCGCGCTTCAACCCTGAAGACAAGCATGCTTGGCATGGAGGTTTGCTGATGGTATTTTAGCATTTTGCATTTTTCTAGGTGTAACCGCCTACCCGGGAGCCGGCGGGAAAGTTTACGGCCTGCGGAATCAGCGGATACTAAGGTATTGTCAGTTTATAGACTACCAAGCCCCAATTCTTTTAGGCAATACCAGCCCAAGTCCGAGTGGTACGATTATGAAGATACGGACTACGACTATACGCGCGTCGACAAGGATATGCCGTGGGACAAGGAGGTGGCCGAGAAGATGGATAGGTAATTGAAAGCCGTTTTTCGAAATCTTTGTTTTAGATACCCGGATCGGCGATATAGCCTCTCCCGCAAGGCTTTCCAGCGAACCGCCTAAATAACCCCGTCCGCGCCCCACATTCTGCTTGTTGTAGTATAGAGTTCGTCGTTTGTTTTAGGTCGTTTATTTGTGAACCGTTTTTTCCTTGATAAATATGAAGCCGTTGACCCGCACAACACAGCTCTATTATTTCTTCTTGCCCCGCGGCTTCTTTTTCTTCTTCTTGGGGGCCCAGTCCTCTTCGTCGCTGCTGATCGGATCCTAAATTTGGGGTTGTAGTCTAGATTTGAATATATTCATAGGAGATGACTCAGTTAGTGTTTCCGAACTCACATATGCATCATCCTCGTCCTCCATCCCCTCCTCGACTGCCGCGCTGGTCGACGGTTCGGGTTGTTCGGTGTATTTGCCACGTTGCGGTCGAGCGGCCCTGAAATTCCTCATTTTTTTGGGTGCTTTACAAAATGTAAATAATCGATATTACGAGTCTCTAGACACCTACCGTCTACCCATCCCTACGCATTTCTCAAGATGGGGTGCGTATCGGGTCACCGCAATTGTCCGCCCGCACACGTCGCATTTTTCCTCCATCTTATCGACTTGAGCTCGTTCGGTCTGGGGCGTAATCTGAATATTATGAGTTGCCTTTGACCGTTTCGTTTCATGAGGTTTCCTAGATGATTGCCATTTTGTTCAGCTTTCAAAACCGCTGGAACTCACCCCTTGCGGCCTGATGGGTATGAAATATCCGTCCAGCGGCACTTTCGGGTTCAGCTTCACAGTCCGCATCATCTGCAAAATTGTTTGCTTTGATTGCCAGTCTATCAACAACTTACATCAAAGCATTCTTGTAAGAAAATCTCCTCCACACAGCTGCGAAACAGGGCCCGGATTGCCGCCTGTCTCTTCGCATGATCAGAGATCGTGGCCGGGTCCGGCTCCTCGCGAACCATCCATCTATATCTTCTTCTCCAAACCCGTTCATGCCATTTGAACTTGTTCCGTTCTTTACGTCTTCTCTGTTTTGCTCTTTCCTTTCTTCTTATTTTCTGTTGTTTCCGCATCAATTTCTTCTTCTCCCATTTCACCCGCTTCCTTTCCGCTTTGGCTGCGACGGGGTCGAGTATAGGGGCTGGCTCTACGGCTGCTGGTGGTGGTGGGGCCAATGAAGCGGAAGCTTCTGAAGCAGCTGCAATCCGGCGGTCCTCCGGTGTGATAACGATGCGTAACTAAAAATAATATTTACTGATTACCCTGTTGTTTGCCTAAAACCTACGTGAAACTAAGGCTTACCTTTTTGACTCTCCTCGGCTCGCCTTCCTTCGGTTCATCCTCATCTGGGTCCTTATTCTCGTTATCCCTGGCTTCTTTGGCTCTAGCTTCCGATTCCGCTGCCGCGGCTGCTTCTGCTGCCGCCTCCTCTTCCTTCCTCTTCTTTTTCTCCTTTCTCTTCTTCTTCTTCTTTTCTTTTTCTTCCTCTCTTTTTTAGCTTTCCTTTCTTTGTCCTCTTCGGTTTCTTTATTTTGTTCCCCTTCAAGGTGTGCTTTACCTTCTTCGGTTTCTGCATCACCCTCCTTCTGACCATCGGTTGCTTTCTTACTCTTCTTCTCTTTCTTGTCCTTCTTTTCCTTTTTATCCTTTTTCTCCTTCTTTTCTTTCTCTGGCTTGTCCGTCTTTTCCTTCTTCTCTTTCTTGGCCTTCTTTTCTTTTTTATTTTTCCTTGGCTTCTTTGCCCTAGGCTCCTTGTTCTCATTAATTACAATCTTGACCCTTTTCCCCTTCTTCCCCGGAACTACCTGAGCATCGCCGATCTCATTGGTGGCATTGGCTTCAGCGGCTTCATTAGCCTCACCGGATTCGTTTTTCTTTTCGAGGGCTTTCCTTTCCTCTTCCTTCCTCTTCTTCTTCTTCTTCTTCTTTTTCTTTTTCTTCTTACGTCTCTTTTTAGCTGCGGCGTCAGCTTCGGCTTTGGCGGCAGCTTCTGCCTGCTGCGCATCGGGTTTTACCTCGTCTGCTTCCATGTTCTCGGGCGTTTCTTCATCCTCGTCGACAACAACTGGGGACGAAGAGCCTTGTCGATCCATATCGTCTTCATCTTCGTCCATTCTGCTGAAAGATTTTGAGTATTAAAGTATCAAGATTGGCTAAGTGTTCAAGTATAAATTTAGATTTTGAGAGTTAAACTATAATAGAATGATTGTAGGACCTTCGGTTCGAGATAGATACTAAGCCGAAAATTAGTAGGAATTAAGCAAAATCCAGCCACATAAAAATGATCTGATTTACTTGTCAAAAATGGCTGTAATTTCTAAAATATCAAAGGCTACTGGTATCGGGGGTTAATAAAATTGGCGCGGAGACTTACCAGCTGGCAGTGGATTGACTTGGTTATCAAAGCGCTTCAAAAATGACCCGTCTTGGTGGAGTAGCAGATGGCAGGGCGACGACCCCACACGGCGCTAACCACTTATCCAACCAAAACGACCCTCAAATTCGCGCACAAAGGGTGCGTCCCTAGTGCGGATTGGCGCGTAGTGGTAGCCCCCAGGTAACCCGGAAATGAGGCTTCATCCGTCAATTGACCCTACAAGTTCGGAAATTAGCAAATGGCGGACGGTACCAAGTGCTTAAGATAGAATTTGTACGGTCGTTAAGCGAAACTGTGCAATTAAGCAGTAAGGTATTTAAATACACTTTATAGCTCAAAGAAACTGTTTTAAGTATTAGAAATCTATATATTTTGTGTGTGAAAAACGTGCGATCGTTAAAACTCATTGTTTTTGTAAAAAAAATTGAATTTATGATTTATTATTGAGCTGTCAACTGGATAAACCGTAATATAACAATGGGGGCGTGTAGCATTAATAAGCGTAAGAATGACTATCGACTACCGGTTGTTGAGATCTGCGGAATAATGAAGGGGTTGGTCCTTTTCAACGGAATTCAGGGGGTGGGTTGTTAATACGAAGCGGAACATCGGGATTTTTCGGATATAATAAATAGATTAAAAGCGTTAAGAAACCAAAGAAAGGAGGGTTAAATTATACGCAATTGCGCCCGAAAAACGACTGGCAAAAGGAGTTGATCGTTTTCGCGGCGCCGCCCCGCTTGCAACCGTAGTGGCCGTCATTTTGGAAGAGGGCCGAGAAGTTGACGAGCACACTCTGAAATTTCGGGATTTTTGGGTGGTTTAAAGGAATTAGGACGCGTGGAATCAGCTTGTTAAAGTCCTTTAAAGCCCGAAAAGGATACCTTGACGAGGGTGGCGGCGAGCGATTCAGACGGGGCAACCGTGCACCAATACAAATTCCAGTCGCACAGCTCGAAGTACTCGGGCAGTGCGTACACCTAGAACGGAATTTGGGTACTTTTCTTTCCAGTCATACCATTTCGAGCACTTGGTCCTTGATTTTGGTGCCGCCGGGCACGAGGCCTTCTTTGTGGAAGTGGCAGAAATCGGAGACGAGCTGCGCTCGACCCACGGCCGAGAACGCGCCCGGGCCGCGCTTCATTTGGCTGAAAAAATGAGGGGTAGATGGCAAAGATTCTTAGGGAATTTGAAAGGACACAGGGAGCGAGAAAATCGACCCAGGTTTCGACTAGGTCTCGACAGGGAAAATACCGAAATCCCGACAACCATAATCCCGGCAGCAAAAATACCGATAGTGCAAAATCGCTTTTTAAAAGGAGGGGGCATTCAAACTAGCGCCAAGAACATCGGGATTTTGACATATCGACATTTTGGTCTGTCGACATTTTGACTGTCGGCATTTTGGCTAGACCCATGCCACGTCCGTTCCTTCAGGGCGTTTGTGACCATACTTACCTGAAAATTGTCGTCCACGTGTTCGTATCATAATTAACGCGGACGAACGAGGTGAAATTCAGGTTGACAATGACCGGAGAGGACACATTCTCGTATTCGGCTAAAAGCACGAGCGTCATTACGGAATTTACGTAGCCATTCAGGAGTGTATGGAGTACTGAACCGTACCTGCTTGTGTCAACATGAATTGGGGGAGGTTGAGCTGATTGGGGAGGAGGAGGGGCCACAGCTTTTGGCCTCGTTGGGCCACAGTGGTCGATTTGTTGCCGTTGACGACGAGCACTTCCGGGAATCCGCCCATACGGTACCAGAATTGGTAGATCTGTAGGATTCCATTAAATAAGTTAAAAATCATCAGGATCAGAATATCTTATCCGATTCGTCCTTAAACATCTTATAGTTAAAGGGCTAGTGAAGGAAAATATTTTTCAACCTGTGAGAGCGGAATGCCGTCTGGTGTTGTGAACTTGCTGAAGTAGTCGGCGAATAGATCGAGGTCAAATGTTGATCTGGAATTCAGAATTTGGAATAGGTGGAAGAGAGAGAGAGAGAGAGAGAGAGAGAGAGAGAGAGAGAGCGCGCGAGAGAGGGAGAGAGAAAGCGTTACCTAGTCGAGACAAGATGTCGAATAGATGCTAATACGGTCCCCTCCCCGACGAGACCCTCAATCGACTCCAAATAGGCCACCCCCTTCAGATAGCAATGGTTGGTCATCTAAAAAATTCCCTTGCCTCAATTCTAACTTGTAAAGTGTACCATTTCGTTGTCAATCTTTTCCGGGAGCTCCAGGGAGTGGTTTGGCGAAACAAAATCTTCGGCGAGTTGCACCTCGACGTATTTCGAGAGCCGGAAGCGCTCATATCTGAAAGGGAATTAAAATTGAAGAGAGAGAGGGAGAGATGGAGAGAGAGAGAGCGAGAAAGAGAGAGAACACCCACCTCTCATCCCCACCAAACAGCGAGCGTACAACCTTGTAGCTGATGTAATCGGTCAAATCTTCCTAAAAACGACAATTTTTGGCACTGGGCTACAAACTACACCTGTAGACAGGCCCATTTCCACGAGGATACGGTGGCCTTATTGCCGATCCAGTGGTGGGCCAACTCGTGGGCCACCACGTAGGCCACGTGGGCGTCATTTGTCGAGGGGGCGGCTAATTCTTCTGAAATCCGGAAGAATTTACAGGCGTAATTCCACGCAACGCGTCAATTTTTAAAGGACCTGGTAAGGAAAACTTTGTGCGACGAACCTGACACGACAATGTGCCCCCAATTCTCGATGCCGCCCACGTAGCGGGGGACGAGCAGGAAGTCGACCTTGTTGAGGGGGAGCGGCACTTCGAAGAGGCTGGCCAACAGCTCGAATGCTGCCACGGCTGCATCGAGGATACGGGCACCGTTGACGTCGGGGTCGTGGAAGACGCGGAGGGTGACGCCAAAGGAAGTGGCACGGTAGAGCTTGAATTCTCTCTCTCTTTCTCTCTCTCTCGCTCTCCCTGATCTCATTTTAAATCCCATATTTCTCGCCTTAAATTCCCCCTCCGGCCCTATGTCCCGTTGGATGCGAGATAGGTATTGGAGTAGTTGACACGATGTGCTTGCTAGGGGTGAGATTGTTTGCTGTACTCACCCCGGCGAGAGAGCCAGAGGCGAAGAGAGAGAGAGAGAGAGAGAGAGAGAGAGAAAGAGAGTGTATGTGACCCCCGAGGCGAATCGTCTTCACTAGCCCTACAATCCCCGATACACACGATTCGGGCCCCACGCGATGAATGGGGCAGATTCGTTTTTTGCTCGCCGATCAGGGTCGAGACGTGCGCTTCGAAAGTTGCAAAAAGCTGGTTTTGTAGCATTAACGGTCAATCCTAGGCTCCATTCTCAAAATCGTGCTCAAGCGAGAGAACCAGAGAGAGAAGAAGGAGAGAGAAAGAGAGAGAGAGAGAGAGAGAGAGAGAGCGGGAGAGCGGGAGAGAGATCACCGTACCTGCTTGAAACTTTCGGGCATCACGGAGAAGGTGTATAGATAGGCGGGAAGGGGAGGCGTCGGGGCAAAGATGGTCTTTTGCCAGCTAGATATTGATAAGTCGAAGGTGATGCTAAAAACTCACTCAACATCCACCACTTGGACATCATTGGCAATGGTGTTCGACTGGGCGATGGTGTGGGCCGGGTGGATGATTTGGAGGCGGAGGGGAGCCTTGGAATGTCTGAAATTGGGGCTTGAAGGGGTCCGGAAGCGTGTCGAATCTACCCACTTCGGCGGTGGTAAACCTTTCTTTATCGCTCTCTCACTCTCTCTCTCCCTCGCTCTTTCTGTCTCTCGGGTTCTTTTTCGTTTTTACGAATGCCATATCCCTTTAAAACACAACCCTATCTCCAAAAACTTACGGCAGATCAATACATGGCATCAGCGTCCGCGCAAAATCTGGCTGAAAATGCGTGGCAAGCAGCTCCCCGGAATTCCGCCAAAAAAGGCCCAGCGAATCGTTTCTAAACCAAGTTTCTCCCTGCTGTTCCGTGACCCTTATACCGTATCTTGGCGCCGTACGCCCCGATCGTCAGCAAGTATTTGCCGCGCGGGAGCACGGTGGCAAAGTTGAACTCGACGGTGTCGGCGAGAATTCGCAGGGATTTCAGGCGGGGCTCTACCGTGTCGTTCGAGCTGAAAAGGACGTCAGCATTTTTAAAGGGACCGTGAAGCTAAAAAACAGCGGTTTTAGGGCAAGTTGGAGCTATGAAAATACCAACTTGAATATGAATGGATTTTACCGATTGGCGTTTTTAATAAACTGAAGAAAAATTGGCGCGTTGCCAAAATTTCAAAATCCAGAGGGTATCTTCTAGATTCTGTAAAATAAATCTGCTCACCTCAACAACGAGATGTTGCGAAAATTGTGAAGTCCGCGGGCGTGTAGAGTAATGTTTTGCGAATTTTGCAGCAGGGAAAACTGCAAAAAGAGGTGGAAAATGGTCAGAAAAATATTTTTATTCCTACATTCGTCGTAAAAAAATCTAAAACCCCTTAAACGCAAAAACCCAAAATTCGAGTGTTAAATTCCGCATAATCTGGTGTCCGAGCCCCTTTAAGAGTACGACAATGTGTTACATGTATCATTGCGGATCCTGCGACATAGCTCTCATTCATCGGAAGCTGCAGGGTTAGGTCGTAGCTGTGGGGCACAATATAAGAGGCAGCAGCTAGGGCGGGGCCGACGAGGCCGAGGAGGACGAGCAGTAGATGCTCCATCGGCTGAAAATCGGGATGGAGATAGAGAGAGAGAGAGAGAGAGAGAGAGAGAGAGAGAGAGAAAGAGAGATCAGGTATGTATTAAAGGGCTACGACACAAAAATCGGATGTTTCGATGCCTTCCCAGTGCCTTTAAAGGCGTCAGGAAGGCCAGAAAAACACAAGGGAAGAGACTTTGCCTTTTTCAAGGATCTAGCTGGTTACGCTAAGGAAAATAACGAAAGAGAGGGAGAAAGGGAGAGCGAGAGAGAGACAGAGATGGAGAGAGAGAGGGGGGAGAGAGAGAAAGATACGGTTCGTAGCTGTCGCCATCCCTTTAAAACAAAAATCGAGATGGCCCAGATGTTCGTAAGCTTCAAAAAAGGAGTGTGAACACCTCGCAGCGCACTCCGACACTCAAGAAATCGTCGGAGCCCTCCAGGGGGTTCGATGGGAGGGGTGGAATGGTAGTGGGTGAAAGGGGGCATTGGGGGACTGTTATATGGGGGGTGTGGGTCACTTGTTGAGGGGGGCTTCTTCTGACCGTCTTCTCACCCTCTTCCCCTTCTCACATCCATTCCATCTATGGGCCTCCTATCTAGGGAGCCCAGCGTTGCTTTAAGCCCCGCTCTCTCTCTCTACTCTCTCTTCTCATCCTGTACACATCAAATGGGTCCGGGGGGTGTACGCAAGCATACTCGTATACCCCGAGGGTATGTGCTGAAGAGGGGGCATGGGAATCTCTCAGCACTATCACACGATTTGGATCAGCGACCAGGAGGGCCCACTTGGGTATCACGGATTTTGCAGCTAGGGAATACGGTGCGGGTGATAAAATTAGTGTTACAGTTAGGCCTGGACCTAGGCTTTTGGCTTGGCTTGGCTTAGGCCTAGGCTTAGGTTTAGTCTTAGGCTTCGGCTTTGGTTTACGCTTAGACTCAGGCTTAGGCTTGCGTTTCTGCTTGGGCGTAGGCTTAGGATTAGGCTTAGGCATGGGCATAGGCTTAGGCCTAGGCTTAGACTTGGCTTGTCTTAGGCCTATGCTTGAGCTTGGGTCCCGAATTCGCCCACTCCTGGCTTCTCGACCCCTTCAAGCGGTTTTTCGTGCTCGCGAAGTTCCACCTCATCCCACCGAACGGTTGTTTATCCCAATTTTTCAGGTGGGAGGGGGATTAGTATGATTGCGTACTTTTACCCCGGACAAAGGAGTGTCGCGTAGCCCGAGGCGGGCATGTTTGCCATCCGCTCCCTCCGATTCACACCTCGTGATTCAGATTCCGGGAAGCCCTGATCCTCTTTGAATTCCGTCATTCCGAGGGGTCGACGATCAGAGAAGCTGCGGTCGGTTGGATTAAAAAGTGGAAAAGAGGGGATTTTGCAGCTGGTAAACAGGGAAAAACAAAAGTTCAGGCAGGTCAAGATTGCTCATCGAACCAGTGAGTTTCTCTTTAGCTTAGCACGGGCTTTTAAAGGGAGCGTGACAGAATCAGGAGTTGGCTTGACCTTCCGCTTCACCCTCGTCCCCCCTACTCACTCACTTATTCCCTGTCTCTCGCTCTCTCTCTCTCCATCTCGTTCCCCCCTCTCTCTCACGCTCTTTCAGCCTCGCTCTATCTCTCTCACCCTTCTCTCTCGCTCTCTCTAGTTCTCTCGCTCACCCTCTTTCTCTCTCTCTCTCTCTCTCTCTCTCTCTCTCTTTCTCTCTCTCTCTCTCTGTCTCTATCTCAAGCCATGTCTCCATGCCTTCCCAGTCCCTTTAAACCCCCTCCCCGATCCCGCCCCCTCCCCAACGGAATTAATCTAGGGTCCCCTCTGCAGCGTAGTAGATGCGCACTCGATTCCGTATGGCTTCTTGTTTACACCCCACACAACCGCGTAAATAGGAAGGAATTGTAGTGATTCTTGGATGAAACACCTGTGACCCTCCAAACAGAGGATAAAGACCGATGCGAGGCGCTGAAGCCTCCTAATGCCGCGCATCTGATTCACCAGTCGGGATTATCTCCTACTAGGTCACATTTTAACGGCGGGATTACGGTAATCCGCAATAATTTGTCACGGTTACCGTAGTTCTTTTTGCAGCGTGTTTATCGCCTGGAGGGCGCGTGGAGACCCACGCGACTCTACGGAACAAAAAGAAGAGGGTTTGGGGTGTTTTAAAGGGAACGTGGCAGCAAGATGGTTGAATTCCTCACGAGCCCCTGCTAGTTTGCCTGTATCTTTGGCATTCTCTCTTGTCTCTGCTATCTCTCCTTCTCACTCTCACTACCTCTCTCTCTCTCTCCCTCTCTCTCTCTCTCTTGCCTAAAGTTCCCCCTAAAAGAATATTTTATCCACTTGCCCCCCTTATTCCACCCGATTTCCCCCTTCCCACGGGTCCCCGCATCCCACAGCTTCTTCTTCTTCGCCTTCTTCGACTTCCCTTTCTGCCACTTGCTTTCCACCCAAACCCCCCTGCTGACTTGTTTACGTCTTCTTCTCCCTCGTTTTCTGGCCAGCGGCAAAATAACCCGCGCAGTGTGTGGCCATCTCTCTATCGTTCTCGCCTCTCTCTCTCTCTCTCTCTCTCTCTCCTAGCCGCTGCCACGCAAAAATAAAAAATTCAGAACGGATAAATAATCAGTTGGCTCCTTTTTTGTTTTGTCTGTTCACAGAAACGACGACGGAACAACAGAAGAACAATTCTGAATAGACTGGATTCCCAGAAATACGCAGAATTTCATCTGAAATTTTTATAATTTCTCGTTTGCAATTTCGAAGTCGTCGTCTTGTGCAAAGCGCCTTAACAAGACAAATATAGCAAAATTGGGCTTGGGTAGTTGGCTTGGCTTAGGCTGGCTTGGCTTGGCTTGGCTTAGGCTTAGGCTTAGGCTTAGGCTTAGGCTTAGGCTTAGGCTTAGGCTTAGGATTTGTTTGGTCGTATATATTTTTACACTAACTTTTTCATATGATCCTAAGATTTTCCATCTGGATTTCCTAAGCATTTTCCAATTTATCAAAAACTTTCAGAGACACCAGCCGCTTGACAACGCTTTTGGAGTGGTTTTTTGGTAGGTCAACGCTTTCGATACGCCTGCATAGCAATCGGGGTACGTTTGTATACAGTAAACATCCCCCTTTCCGTCATTTTAGTGCATTTTAGCGGCGAGTAGAGACTGTTTGCGGGTTGCCCTTTGTTGGGACGGGGGGAGGTTGGCCGAAATATTCAGGCATTTCCCCATCGAGTCTATTCCCGAATGTGCCCTTAGTTTGTTTACGCCATGGCTGGGGGGCCCTAGCGGCCCGACTGGACCCTCTGAAGAGAGAGAGAGAGAGAAAGAGAGAGAGAGAGAGAGAGAGAGAAAATGAGAGAGAGAACGAGAAAGAGCATCCACACAGAGCCAACAAGTAAAAAAGGGGGTGGGGCTTGCCATATACTCGCGCCGGAGAACGAACCCGGTGGTCGAGAGTGTCCTTTTCTTTCTTTCTTTCTCTCTCTCTCTCCCCTCTCTCTCACTCCTTGTTTTTCGGGGCTTCTAGAGAGTTGGCCCACCCACCCTCGATATTCCAAACGCACTTTTCCCCCGCCGGCACCACTGCACCGAGCCAAGGACACGAGTGTTCCCAAGATTTTGAACTTGCCCTCGAGTTTTTGAGAGTTTTTTTTGGTCCCCTGGGGAATTGTTGTTGTTTTTTGGCTACAGTAGTCTTTGCTGGCGTTTCGTCAATCAATCCTTTTGCAGTGAGCCCGCCGGGCGATGTTTTGCCTGTTTATCTACAGTACGGTACTGGAGTGTCGGGTACGGTATTTCACATAGAGAATGAGAATAGCTGTTTTTAAAGGCAGTGTGGCATCCGTAATTTAGGGGGATATAGAAAACGTGTGAGTTGCTGAACTTCTCTCGTGCTCTCGTTCTCTCTCTCTCGTTCTCGCTCTCTCTCTTTCTCTGTCAAATCTCGCGCTTTCTATCATGGTCACTCTCTCAGACACTCTCTTTCTCTCCCTCCCTCCCTCTCTCTCGCTCCCTCTCCCTCTCTCACTCTATCTCTCTCCTTCTCTCTCTCACTCCTTCTCTCTCTCTCTCTAGCTCTCTCTCTCTACCCTCTCACGCCAACCCTCCACTCTTACGTCTGCATAAGCCTTCAGATGGAAAGGTATACCCAGTAACAGGTGTCTGTCAACACTGAGCCGACGATCAGGGTCGATTCCAACGCTTCCCAGTCCCTTTAACTATCACCCGCGTGGGCAATTGGTTTCGCAAAACCCGGGGGGTGAGGCCAGAAAGTGTGTGGGGTGTTTTGGGGTAAACAATGGGCCCGAAAATCCACCCCCTTTCACGAAGAGGAGGCCATTAGCCCGCAGAAGGAATGGCATACACAACAACGGATTGGCCGCCGTCGCCGTCAATTTTCTCGGTGACAACAAAAAAATATAGAAACTCGAAGGTATGCCAAAAATTAAGCGTTTGCCAGAAACCGCCAAAATTTACCTTTAATTTGCATACAATATAGTGGGATAATGCTTAAAGGAGCTTTCGCATTATCGGGGGGGGGGCGTTACCAACCCCTTCGCTTCGGATCTAATTTTTTGTCATTAAAATAGAGCAAGGGAACAGAATAAAATTTTTAACTATTTCCAAATAAACAAACTTCATAAATTTGCATGAAAATTACAAAAATATAGGTTTTCGACCAAAAATGGCCGATTTTTTGCAGATCTATAAAAATGTCTTTTTTGAGATAACTTCATTTTGAATAGGGCTAGATTTTCGGTAGGTTTACTTTACCCCCACAGCCGAAGGGTCTCAAAGTTGTCGGTATTTTCGCTTATTTTGTCGGGTTTTCGCACGCCTTCGATAGGCGCGAATACTAAGAGTTTTATTGAGCCTACAATAATGTAAAATAAAAAAGTTATAGCCAAAACATTCCGGCTGGGGGGAAAGTATGAAGTTTTACCGCTTCAACCCACATTTCTTGCGAATTCTTTTAAACAAATATCGGGTTACAGTAAGTTCGTGACGGTTCACAGCGATCCATAGTTT